GATATAGCTATTTGAAAATCTCAGTATTCTGTGTTATTGGAATAAACTGAAGAAGGCAATCAGTTAACAAAAAATCCAACACAAAATAATGTTAAAATCTAACTAGTATTAAACCATTTTAATAAAATAAGAATAAACCAAATATAGTGCAAACAAGACTCATAACCATAACGAAAATTAAGTTTTTATAATGAGTTGTTGAAAACCTGGCCTCTTAGTTTTTTACGGAAAATGCAACAAATCAGGCCGTTTAATTTAATTAGGGCATGATATCTCATTACATATATATATATATATATATATATATATATATATATATATATATATATATATATATATATATATATATATATATATATATATATATATATATATATATATATATATATATATATATATATATATATATATATATATATATATATATATATATATATATATATATATATATATATATATATATATATATATATAATATATATATATGTATGTATATATATATATATATATATATATATATATATATATATATATATATATATATATATATATATATATATATACATATGTTATTATATAACAGGCGGATCCAAAATTTTTTGGTATTGAGATAACTAATTTTCAGACATGGAACAAACTCCAAACATTTATATGTTTATAATTATATCAAATTAGAATATTTTGCAAAATGTTGCGTTGATTGGAGTCTGGAAAACCAAAAGCCCTAATACTTTTGCCACAACTGCACCAAATGCAAGAACAACGAATTGATAAAAGCTTTTTCTATTATTCTCAACTATAGTTATATTCCGCAATAAATGTTAAAATTCATAGTATAATTTATCAGCTTTTCAAATTATAACCATATATGAATAACATAAATATTAAGAGATTACTGTATGAAATTAAAATTTTTTGATATGTATAACTTCAGTTGAGAATAGTAAAAAAAGGTTTTTATCAACTTGTTGCTTTCACGTTGGGGCAGTTGTGCCCGAAAATTTAGGACTTTTTTGTTACCGGACTCTTATAACTTCAAATTTTTGAAAAAATATCCTTTTTTGAAATAAGTATGATCATACAAATGTTTGCTGTTTGCTCCATGTCAGGAAGTTAATTGTCTCAAACAAAAATCCAAAATGTTGGATCCACCCCTGTATATATAACATATTAATGTTTTTATTGCTATTATTATTATCATTATTATTATTATCTATTATTGTTATATTACATAATCACATCACTAAAATATAATATTATATTTCGGTATTTTAAAATTTATATTTATTTTTTCTTATCTTTATATCAAAATAAAAATAAGCAAACACATGGCACTAGTAGCAACATATGGTAGACATAAAAAATGAGTTACTTTTGTATGGCTGACATACTCTACACACGCGGTTTATACGTTTTGAATAACATAACAATAGTATTTTGCAATTTAAATAACATAAGCCTAGAAAAGTGAAAACTATAGTAAATAAGTTTCATTAAAAAATTTATTATATATTGACGCAGCGAACATTTGCTTAAAAAAATGGTTTTTGAACGTCTTTTAAGAGTTTAAAATACGTTTTTTCACAACCAAATGCACGCTGGTAATATGCAATTACCACCCATTATAAGGTAAAGTTACTAAAATACTAATATTCAACAAGTAAAAACTAAGTCTTACATACTTTTTTACATACTTACGTCTTGACAATTCTTTCAAATGTGTGTACGTGCGTACCATAATCAAAGTTTATTCGCTAGTATAAAACTCTTTTTTATTTCGTTTTTTCAAACTTTCAAAATTCTACCTTTTAAAAATTTCATAAACCAATGTGATTAAGTCCACTTCTTAAATTTTTTTTAATTTTTTTTTTTTTTAATAAAATAAATAATATGCATATATATATATATATATATATATATATATATATATATATATATATATATATATATATATATATATATATATATATATATATATATATATATATATATACATATATATATATATATATATATATATATATATATATATATATATATATATATATATATATATATATATATATACTTGAAATATGTTTATAACCAATAAGTAAAAAAATTAGTCAACAAAATGAACAATAAACGAAATATTTTCTTCTTGTGTTTGTGGAGCTAAAAAATGAAAAAAAAAAATTTTTATTTATTCTGGTTTTCATAGGATTTTGTCGTTGGTTGTTTTTTATATCAAAGAGTATTTATTTTTAATGGCTTCTAAATATTTTCATATAAGTTTTAGAAGCTATTATGAATTTAAGAAAAAAGTTTATTTTATGGACTTAACCACAGTGGCTTCTGAACGGTTTATGTATTTGGTATAACAACTCTATTACCATATTGAAGCAAAAAGTTTATATTACCATATTAAGTGAAGTGAGTTTGTTAATTACTGTGAAGTGATTTTTGCTTCAATATTACCATATTGAAGCAAAAATCACTTCACAGTAATTAACAAACAGTATGTAAAAATTTCAAATTCCAAATATAAAACATTGCTAATAGTAGTATAGCATTAAAATTCAAGAATTTGCGATCTGAATTTCACAAATAAGAAACACAGTGGTTTAATATTAAACAATCGCAGCATATTATAATGCGCATGCGCAATTTATGAAAAAAAGTATCGCTATTCCGCTTTTAATTGGTAAATCTTTTTTAACTCTATTCTAAAAAAGTAACTTATAGCTTTGCTATAAAAATGTATAGTTGATATCCTATTATTTAAATTGATTTAAATATGGCCATGGAAAATGTATTTTTTCACAACATTTAAATTTTTAAATTTTAGTATCTCTAAATACGCGGGTAACTCAGACTTGATTTTATGGCTATGTTTTACTTAAACTGGATAATTAGGCGTATATTTAAATTTTTAGGCTTTAAAACCTAATATATTTTAAAACTAGAAGAGTTTAAATTTATATTAAAAAAAAATTAGACTTGGGTTACTTTTTTAAGTTTAAAAACAGTGTACTTCAAATTCTATTATTTAACTATAAATAAATATAAATATGACCGAGTCTCATATAACAAAACTAGGAAAATTATATCGAATATGTAGAGAAAATCTTTTAAATCTTGTAAATTGTGTTCTTTTAACAAACCATGTAATTAGAATAGATTTGCTTTTTTTTATACGAATTGACAAGGACGACCCAAAAATGCACCCACAGAAGATGTGTTACAGATGCTATTCAATAATGAGAAACATAGAAAAAGGTTCAAATACTAATCTTTAATTAAGAACCTGGATTAGCAATTGCAAGAAATGTGAATGTGTTTGCTTTAAAGTAAATAAAGGAAGGAAACCAAAGAAAACTGTAAAGGGCCTTGAGTATTGCCGATAAAGAAATTTGGACTAGACAACCAATAAATACCATACAAGCTAAACTTTCACCTCTACCAACTTTAAATCTGAAACTACAAGACATTAACCAAATCTTTGTGTCTTTTATATTTTTAATGGTATTATTTATAAACCAGCATTCGTTTTACGCACCATGTATATTACCACTTATCAATAATAAACTATTATCTAAAACAAAATGCCCTAAATGGTCGCTTTCAATTTTAATTGATGGATTAATCTCCTCTAGCAATGTTGTTGAAATGATAAATCATATTCAAGAAGAATGTTAGCAACGTTATGGTAGACTATTTAAAGTGTCACAACTGTCAGAATGCATGAACCATCAAAATATTTGTCAGACTCTAATACCAATATCCTCAACCTTGTCAGCAACATCATCACAAATATCAGATATACTTGCATTAAATTCAATAAGTGTTAGCACAAGGGATATTGATGCTATTGAACGTCATTTTATAAAACAAAAAATTTTGTAAACATTTGCCAGTAAACAACCAAACACTTGACAGCGAAGAGTTTAACAAATATATTGAAAGGCATTGTTTAATAAAACAACTTCAGATAAGCATTCAGGATCTTGAAGATAAAACACGTATTAAAACAGAAGCACTTGAAATTCACATATTATCGACCCTGAAAATGAAGAATATTTGATGTTAGTATTTGAATCACACATAACTTACTTTGAAGAGGAAAAAAAAAAAGTAATCATTTTTAGTTTTATTGTTCACTAATAATATAAATCATACATAATACATTTTGTTAGGATCTTAATAGATATGTAATTTAGTATTTGTATATATATATATATATATATATATATATATATATATATATATATATATATATATATATATATATATATATATATTTATATATATATATATATATATATATATATATATATATATATATATATATATATATATATATATATATATATGTATATATATATGTATATATATATGTATATATATATGTATATATATATGTATATATATATATGTATATATATATATAATATTTGTCAATTATTGTTCACAGAAAATCATATTGAAGATTTTATGAAATACTTCCATAATAATTGGCCAAATGATTCAATTACACCTAAGCTTCACATGCTTGAATGTCATACATTATCTTTTATTAGGAAATGGACTTGGTACTTATGGAGAGCAGGGTGCAAATAGTATTCATGCTGAATTTGACAGCATGAAGAGTATCTGCTGGCACATGAAAGGAACACGTAAACTCAAAGTATAATGAGTACTTTATAAAAAACCACCTCACTGTAAAAAAATATCTACAAAAAGCTCTGCTTAAGAACAGAAAAATTGCAGATACTTAAAATAATTTTATGAAAACTTCCAAAAGGGTTTTTAGAAATTGCAAAAGGGTTTTCAGAAAATAAATGGCAGCACTATGGCGTATATATTATTTCTGTCAGTATTTTCAGACCTTCAAATAAAAAGAAAACTTATCAATTTTTAAAAGCATTAAATTATAACAAAATAAAGTAACCCAGTTATAGTTTTAGTTTTAAATGATTCACACATTACTATGTTTTCAAAAAAAACTAATGATAGTGACTAAAAAATTTACAACTTTAAAATATAGACCATAATGTTAGCACATGTTAAACTTTCCCAGAAAAACAACAAAGTTTCACTTTAGTTCCACATCTTTTCTCCTTCTAAAATTATTTAGGTGATAACTTTGGTAAAATCTACCATACCTAAAATATTTTTTTGACATAATTTCTTAAAAATAATTTAGCATTATCTACAAATAATTAAAGTTTGAAGTGTATACAACTTTAGTAAGAAATCCCTTTTAATCGCGATTGATTTTGTTTACAAACGTTTGAACAAAATATGACGCATGCGCGTGTTAAAAGTGCATTACTAAACCACCGTGGAAAGTAACTGTCTTGTTAAATATATTTAACGCTTTTGCCAATATTAAAAAAAGGTAAAATTTGTCACACCAGCGTTGTCGCACATTCAGCGTTTAATCAACGTTGTTTTGTCGGTTAAACAATGTAATCATTGAAATTGTATCGAATTGGCTTTAATATAAGTTTATGTTATTTCTCAAGTAACGATATACTAACTAAGAGATTAGTCTTTATATAAAAATATAACATAGGCAGTTTTTCTCAATTCACTTCCTTTTTTTGTTATGTCTTGAATAAATCTTATGCTAAACACGTGTTTTTTAAATGATTTATTGATAAAGCAGTTAACAAGAACATTAGAAACAGTGGATAGTTTCGATAACAAAGCTGAAGTTGTTACCAGCAAAGGAGGAGGAGCAATCTTTAGCAATGCTAAAATGCTGACTAGAGCGTAAGGTGTCCATGTTACAAAAAACATTGCACTAGACAACGAAAATACTTTCAAATAATGTTTCTCCAAAAAATCAGTTTGATTATCATCCTTTTGTCCGAGACTACGAGTTCTTCGGCGATAAATTACTTTCTTGCTTCTAAATAACCCAATTACTATTAGAATTCCTGGGAATATGTTGCAGAATATTAGAACTGACAAAATATAAGACAGAGAGTTTGATCGAGTCAATTTCCAATCTAATGAACAGCGTTTTTTATCAACATCTAAGTTGTATTTGGACCAACCAATTGCAGGAAAACTTGCCCACATAAATCCATAAGCGTAACACAGTGATATTAAAGCTGATCTGTACCAGAAGCGTTTTCGATATTTAAAATAATAAATTGGATATATTATAGCCACAGTTCGGTTTAACGAATGTATACATAAATGAGAAATACTTGTTATTGCGAATCCAAACACTGCAAAACCGCTTGCTATGCACAATGAGTTACTTCCTGATAAAATTTCTCCTGAGGTTATTACATGAGGTAGTACTCCAATTATTGATTCCATCAAATTTGTAAATGAGATGCTTAGAATAAATAAATGCGCTAACTCTTTTTTTTTTACTTTAATCAAGATAGTATAGCAGGCAGTTGTGTTTAACATTACAGACAAGACAAGTATTAGAGACAGAAAAACTTTATATGCTACGTCGTATGCGGTCATGACTTACACTCTAAAAATAAAAGATTAAAATATCTTTTACAATTGTTGAAAAAGTTCGAATAGTTGTTTCTAACCTAGCTTTTTAAAAAACAAACTGGTTTAACAAAAAAAAGTAATTAAATTATGAATAGTTCAAGATGGATTTAAATCATGGTTGGTATTATGAATCTTTACTAACTTTAGAAATTCTTTAGGCTTTGCAGTCATCGGTACCATTAAAAATGATTGCACAAAGTTTATGTATAATAAGTGCTTAATTAAAGCTCTCTCATTTTGAACTAAAACAAAGTTTTCATTGATAACGCTTTTTCTATTAGTTTTAAACGCTATTTTAAGCGTTTGTAAATAAAATAAAGATTATAAAAATAAATAAAACAAAGGTTATAAGAAAAGTATAAAAGAATAAGATTTTGAAATTGAGGACGAAAGCAAAAAGATCTTGCAGCATCTTTGATTATGTCTTTTTTTTTATTTTTTTTTAATTTTGTAATTCATTTAAATAATTAGTGGTTCTCTTTTACGAAAAAATAGAAAACTATTACCTTGTTAGCTTTTAAGAAAACAAATAGGAAACTATTACCTTGTTAGCTTTTAAGAAAACAAATTTAAATTTGCTTTAAATCGTATTTTTAGCCATTTCCGTTAGAGTTGTTGCAAAGTGTTTTTCTAACCAGAGTAAACGTAGCCGTTATCTAACCCAGCCAGCACAACTCTGTAAGTGATTTCGTTAGATTCCTGCAGCAAAGTTTCAAACCCCTAAAACAAAAGTATTAACACATGTCATAAATACAATTTCAATTTTGGGAAATTAACTATTTCTACTTAACGGACCGCAGGACATTTCGTTTTTATTATTGGTTTCGCTGGTGCGCAAACGTAGTATAATTTTATACTAAGTTTCTATAATGAATGTTAAACCAGTAATATCAGCAAGCGACATTTAAATTTAACTTTAAAACCTCATAAAACACGTGCTAAACTCAAATACAACTGCCCGTGAAATCAACGTATTTTTAATTTACGCTTGGATCATGGCGAACGCTTTTCTATTTCTAAACGGTTTTATTTTTGAAAGTGAAACTAGATGTGCCGGCTGGAAAACAAGAGGTGTTTTTTATCAAAGATATTCAATAGAGGTACAACAGGAATTTTTTTTACAAAATAATCGATTACATATTTTAAAAATTACTGTAAAAAACCTCTGTAAAACAAGGTATTAAAACTTCTAAAAGCAAGTCTCTGTATAAAACTTTGTAAAATTAAGGTGAAAACAGTAAAATAAAAAAATTAATTTTACTACAAACAACATAAAATATAAAACTTTATTAGAAGAATTATAATGATTGGGTATAGCAAACAATATTAGAACGTTACTAGAAATATTTATTGCTGCTTATATAAGTAAAAAAAAAAATTACATACTTTATTTAAAAACATTAAAACAAAACATATATTAAAATAATACACCTGTTGTTGCTTTTTTTTTTAATTTATTAACAAAGCCAAAAATAAGTTTTTAAAGCTCCATTAAACTTAAAGAAGAATTAAGTATGGCTCTTTAATGTAAAAATGAAATTGCTTTATTGCAAAAATGATTAATATCGTTAATTGTTTTAAAAATACATAAATAACAAAGTAAATAATATTGCTAATATCAAAAAAAATTCTCTTTTTAATTTGATGTAACCTTCTTTCAACTACTCTTTCAAAACAAAAAACATTTGAAAGATTACATAAACATTGTGTTTTTGAATCTAAAAATAAAAAAATACACTGTGTTTATTGATTATTGCTAAAATATAATAAACTGTATTAGCGGTAAAAATAAAAAGAATAATTGGTATGAATTATGAATAAATTATAATTAATTATTGTATTGAACGCCTATATTAACTTTTTTTGAAGCAATCTTTGTTTATTAAAAAGGAAACCAAAACGATGGTCCATCTGCTAAAATGTTGTAAATGCAAAGCTGCTAGGCTATTACTAATGCAATGTTCATAAACAATTATTTACGAATAAATAGCCTTAATATTTAAACATGATCAATTATGCAATAAAGCGATTTGCATGAACGTAGTGGACTGTTATTTAAAAATTGTCAAGTGTATAAAATTGTATGCGCAGTGTTTCAAATTAGTAAAAAAAACGTTAAACCGACAATATACTATTGGTAAAAAATAATAATAAGCTAAACTATGTTAAACTAACATGAAAATAATAAACCTTATTTATAGGCTACATATTAAATTTTTCCTAATATAACTGTACGCTACTCAAGTGCAAAGACTCGCGTTACCTCCCCGCCAATAATTAAAAATTAAACATTTCTAATGTTAAAGCATTATTGCATTATTGTTAATTTCATCATGTTATTGTTTATTCTTGGATTACTCATAATCAACCAAGCGGCAACGCTAGTTCTTTGTTCTTAATTTAGTATAAACAAGAAACGTCTTAATTAGCAATGCTAGATATACTGTAGCAGATGCTATAAACGTTTTTATACACACTAAGACACATACAAAAACACGCATGCGCGCACACATGCATACTTTTAGTATATCTATTTTACTGTTCAATCATTAATTGACCTGTTTATTCTATTTATTTCTGTTTAGCAGTAAATATAATCAACATATATATGTAAAAAATGATTTGTTACAGACAAGAAGAAGAGTTTAAAAGTATCACCAAGCTTCTTTTTGCTGAAGAACTTACAATCGTAAATTTATAATGTACTAAAAACTTTATTAAGATAACTTAGAATCATGTCAACCAAATAAATGTTTAAAAATATAAATAATTTATATAAAAAGATAAAAACTTGTTTATGACAAAAAAAAAAAAAAATTTTTTAACTAAAATATAACAAAGTTATTTTTTGCCTAATTTTATTTGCATGTCCATATAACAGTATATATTGTTAAAAAGACCGTTCAAAAAAAAAAAAAAAATACTTATATGTAATAAAACTTTTATTTATAAAATTATCAGTAAAAGAGACATGAAACCAAGTTCATATACAACTCTGAAGACAGTTTTTTTCATAGATTAGTATGAGTCATCTCTGACGTGTGACTAAACCACATAGTAAACTATATATATATATATATATATATATATATATATATATATATATATATATATATATATATATATATATATATATATATATATATATATATATATATATATATATATATATATATATATATATATATATATATATATATATATATATATATATATATATATATATATATATATATATATATATATAAGAAACTAAAAAATATAAAATCAAAATGGTTTATGCGGTACATTAGCTCTTGAAAATTAAAAAAAGCAACTTAATATTCAAAGGTTTTAGTATAGCAAGCTATTAATAAAACTTATTTATATTTGAATATTTATGAAAAATTTAATATTTGCAACTGAAGTTTATACGCTGGGTGCTGCACCTTGTTTCATAAAATTTTTATTTGAATCAGAAATATATATTGATCAGTTAATTTGATTTTATAAAGGAATCACTCCAGGTACGTCCTACTATATTTACACTGCCAAATATTATCTTTTTTGTTTGAGAGATAAAAATTAAAAAAGACGAGTTTTCAAAACAAATTTTGGTCAAAGTAAAATCGGTAACATCTACCGCAAATAAAACTAATATATTTAATTACGTAAGTGTGAATATTATATATTAAGGTATGAACTATTAGGAACTTTATTGCAGGATGATTTTCAGAAAAGTATGTGAAACACGGTTAAAAAAAAATTTTTATTGTATTTTATTCAACGATAACCTATTTTTATGGAAAAAAAATGCTGCAAACTTTATAAACATTTTAACCAAACTTTATTAACACTTGTTCAGTATAATTCTATATTCAGGTTTATTATTTGGCATTACTTTATATTACAATAAATTATCATATACTTTTAACTTAGTTTTAATTTTTTTTTTTTTTTTGCTCAACTTTAAAGTCTTTACATTGTTTGTTTGAACTTCATCATAAAACGTTAATAAATTATTTGTTTGTTAAAAGTTTTATTATACAAAATGAAATTTAAGTTACGTCAACAATTTTAAATTAGGAACAATACACTGCGCAAACTTTTTGCAATTTGATGTTCATTACAGAATAGCAGTATCGTAGCAAATGTTTTTACAAATTAGTGTGTTAATAAAAATTTATTGCTGGTAAAATGGTTTCCCCACGAGAAAGTTTTTCAATAACTGAATCCTACCTCACCATATGCAGCAAATAAAAGAGCTTTGCAAGTAAAATTTTTTTTTTGATCTGTGTAACAAAATGACCAATAATAACAGAAGCAACTTCAAAGCTCTCTAAAGTTAAATTTTTTCTTCAATATCTTGTAAAGTTTCTTCTAGCTTATCAAGGTATATTTTACGGCCGGAATTAGAAGGATGCGTGAGGCTGACAACCCTTTCTCAGATCCGCCGCAACACTAAATCCTAGTTGAAAAAAAATGAGTTAAGTTACCTTTGTAGACAAGCCAAAATGAATTCAATTTTAAAATGATATTTTTTACAATATCTTTAGATTTCAGTTTTAGCTATCGATAATAACAAATGGCTTATAATTACTTTTTTTTTTTTTTTTTTTTTTTTTTGTTCTTTTCTTGAATATTCGATATAGTTATAAAATAAGATAAAAATCGTTATACAATAAAAGAAAATATATACAAAAAAGAAAGAACGCGGAGACTCGCAGAAGACTTTCAGGTCTTATCATCGAGAACCGCTCGTGAATATTAAATACATTAAATTAACATGAAGTGTAAAATCTAAACAATGTCGTATTAAAAATTAGCGAGAACGTAAATTTCGTAATAATATATAAATAAAATTGGAATAAAGAAATTGTTGATACTCTTATATATAAATACAAAAATATTTTAAAAAGTACTGTTTTCACAAACACATAAGTTATGGATCAGATATAATATTTATATATTACCTTATGTAATAAACTTCAAATTCATTTTTAAAAGAATTTAAAAATATAAAAAAATGTCTTCAAAAGACAAAACAATTTCTTTTAGTTTTTTCTTTAATGAAAGATAATTATATTCATGGGAAAAATCAAAATTTTTTAAAACTATTTTGTTCCATAGAAAAGCTCCTCGATATGAAATACATGACTTTCCAAAATTAGTTAAAGATAAAGGTTGCTGAATTTGATTATCATTTCTTAAGTTATATTTATTTTTATCTTTTAAGGTATATAGATTATAAAAAGAAACTGGAGATTCGTTGGTTTTACACTTGAACATAAAACAGAGAATATTAAAAATATTTAGCTGATAAATATTAAGAATTTTCATTTGAAATAACAATGGTTTGGCATGAGCAAATCGATCTTTATAATTGATAAGCCGAGCAACATGCTTCTGCTGACGATAAAGAGGTAGCAGTTTAGATTTATTGGTATTACCCCAAGCAATATTTGCATAATTTATATGGCAATGGATTAAAGAGAAATATAATTGTGTTAAACTGTGTTTATTTAAAGCATTTCTAGCCTTGTACATTACTCCTATATTTCGAGCAACTTTGTTGCACAATAAATCAATGTGATACTTCCAACTAAGGTTTTCATCAATATTTATTCCTAAAAAGTTAGTAGTTAGTTCTCTTTTTATTTGAACTCTGTCAATAAAAAGTAAGGGCATCACAGGAGGTAGTAGCTTTTTTTTTGAAGTTTGATGAAAAAGTATCCATTTAGTTTTTTTAACATTTAGTGACAGCTTATTCACTTCAAACCAGTCAGAAACTTTTGTTAATTCAATATTCATATTTTGGAATAATGTTGTTATGTTGTTATGAGCTAAAAAAAGATTTGTATCGTCGGCAAACATGACCGTCATTAAATTTGAGGCTTTAGGGAGATCATTAATGTAAATTAAAAAGAGAAGAGGTCCTAGTATAGAACCTTGAGGGACCCCACATGTTATATCTAATAAATTGGAAGAGACAGTTGTATTACTGTAAACAAACTGTTTACGGTTGCTTAAATAACTTTTAAGGATCATTAAAATATTCCCTTTAATTCCATAATACTCTATTTTTTTAAATAGGATTTTGTGGTCGATGGTATCAAAAGCTTTCGATAAATCTATGAA